AGAGAAGATGAACAAGATATATATATAGGGAGAGTGTGAACTAATAGCAAGAATTAAAAAATAAACGCAATTTTTTATAAAGCCGTTATAAGCGTCTCGCTACATGTGCAATATAAAAAGAAAACTTAAAGGTTTATGAAGCACTCGTCAATTTCCACGAAATTCTATTATTATTATTATTATTATTATTATTATTATTATTATTCCCATGTATCTTTGCTGTTGCTGTCAAAAATTATCAAATTCAACAAAAATTTCCCAATTCTGTGTTTTTCAAAAACCATTCTGTGCAGATTCGATTCATTTTGTCCTATCGCATGGCACTTAAAGAAATAGTTCGCTCTACTATATTGCAGAAAAGTCCTTCATAAATAATTTTCATTCATTTTTTTAAGTTTATCTGGCGCAATCTACTGTTAGATGCATGCAACTTAACTCTAAAAAAACCCAAAATGAATTAATTAAATTTAATAAATGAATGAATATTTGTAAAAAAAAACCGTATTCACATCCAGTGTCATCCACTACAAGTTCAAAAAATAAAACGTATTTGAACGTGAATGGATGAATAAAAAGTATTTTATGAAAATTTTAATAAGATATATAATAAGTTTATGAAGCACTCATCAATCTCCACTAATTTATTATTATTATTCTCAGGTACCGTTTCTGTTGTCAATTTCCACAAAAAAATTCCCCAATAAAATTCCAATTCTGTGTTTTCAAAAACCATTCTGTGTAGAATTCGATTCATTCTGTCCTATCGTAGGGCACTCAAAGCAATCGTTCTCTCCGCCCTACATATTCAATGATCTTCCTTTTCATTATCAATGCATCCATTTATTGCATTATTTATCCGGCTCAGTCCATCATCGACTCTGCAATTAGATTAAAAGATATCGATTCACTCTCTCAGGACTCTCTCTAATGCACGAGCGCACTCATCAAGAATACAAACGCAAACACAAACAGAGGAATCAATGAAATGCGTTCAGGTAGAAAACGCGATTTGGCTTCTGGATGCACGAGGAATCGATTGAAATAACTAACCAATGCGAAACCAACTTAAATAACCAACTTAATGCCATGGTATTTCCACATCAATCTAAACAAGTAATATATAAAAAAAAAAAAAAAAATGCTAAAGTCAAATCCAACTTTTTTTTTCTCCATATTGCAGAAAAGTCCTTTATAGATAATTTTCATTCATTTTTTTAAGTTAGAAAAAAAATCTCTCTCTCTCTCACACATTTTCCATCTCTCTCTCATTTATTCACGTTTCATTTTCCATTCAGTTCCCCGCTCGACTCTGACTAGAACCCAGAATGAATAAGTAATATAAAAACAAATTTTTTAAAGTCAATTCCTACTTTTCTTTCACTCTATTGCAGAAAGTCCTTTATAAATAATTTTCATTCATTTTTTTTTTTAAGTTTATCTGGCGCCCTCTATGGGTAGATACATGCGACTTAAATCTAAAGAAAAACTAAAATGAATGAATTAAATTTAATGAATGAATGAATATTTGAAAAAACTGTATTAACATCCAGTGTCATCCACTACAAGTTAAAAAAAAAAATGTACTTGAACTCGAGCGGATGTATAAACAGGGTTTTATGAACGATTGAAAATTTAAACAAGATATATATAGAGATAGGATATATGGATATATACAGATCGTGGACTAATAGTAGGAATTGAAAAAAATTTTAAAAAATATTTACTTGTGTGATTGAATATTTACTTCATTCAATCAATTCCTTCTATTAAGAAGGAATTGAATGAATCAAAAAAACTTACAACTTTATGAAGCACTCATCAATTTCCACGTAAATCTATTATTATTATTATTCCCAGGTATTTTTTTTTTTTTTTTTTCGTGTCAATTTCAAAAAAAAAATTCCACAATAAAACTCCACATCTGTGTTTTTCAAAACTCATTCTGTGTAGATTCGATTCATTTTATCCTATCGTAGGGCACTAGCAATCCTTCTCTCCGCCCTACATATTCAATTCCCTTCCTTTTCATTATCAATGCATTATTTATTCGTCCCAGTCCCTCGATTCCTCTGCAATTAGATTAAAAGATATCGATTCACTCTCTCTGGACTCGAGCTCTCTCTCTCCTCAATGCACGAGCGCGCTCATCAAGAATACAAACGCAAACACAAACAGAAGAATCAATGAAATGCGTTCAGGAAGAATAATGCGATTTGCCTTATGGTTGTACAACAAATTGATTGAAATAACTAACCAATGCCAAACCAACTTAATGCCATGGTATTTTCCCATCAATTTAAAATAAGTAATATATAAAAAAAAAAAGTCAATTCCTACTTTTCTTTTCACTCTATTGCAGAAAAGTCCTTTCTAAATAATTTTCATTCATTTTTTTAAATTCTCTCACTCATATACACACTCTCCATCTCTCTCACTCATTTATTCACGTGTTTCATTTTGTTCCCTCCTCCACTCAGACTACAATCCGGAATGAAAAAAGAATCTGAAAAAGAAATTTTTTTCCACGCTTTTCCACTGACGGTATTGATTTCTACATTTATATCCTCCTAAGTATCTTACAGTAGAGAAATCAATTTTTCAATTTTCCACCCGTCGATCCTATATATATATTTTTTTTCTTTCTAATGCAGCCGGCAAACACTTAGACAGCTTGGTCTTGGATGCCTTAAGGCAAGCGCTGCACAGATGTTACTCACTTTGCATTACCCAGGAGGTGCGTGTAGCTTAGAGAGTAACACTACCTACGCAACGCTCTACGATCCTACTAGACCGGGACCTACGGTGTAAAGTGGATTCCGAACCACAACAAACATCCATGGCACCGTCTGTACTCGAACAAGAAACCTGTGGTACCCATCGCCAGAGCTCCAGCCACTCGGCCATTCAGGTCCCTCTTATCAAATACATAAAAAGTAAAAACAAGTAATATAATTTATTTTTTTTAAAGTCAATTCCTACTTTTTTTTCTCTCTATTACAGAAAGTCCTTTATAAATAATTTTCTTTCGTTTTATTAAAGTTAATCTGGCGCCATCTGTTGGTGGATACATGCAACTTAAATCTAAAGAAAAACTAAAATGAATGAATGAATTAATATCTGAAAAAACTGCATTGACATTGCATTATTTATTCGGCCCAGTCCTTCATCGACTCTGCAATTAGATTAAAAGATATCGATTCACTCTCTCCGGACTCGAGCTCTCTCTCTCTCCTCAATGCACGAGCGCACTCATCAAAAATACAAACGCAAACGCAAACAGAGGAATCAATGAAATGTATTCAGGTAGAATAATGCGATTCTGTTGCATGATTAATTGATTGAAATACTGACCAGGTTTAATGTCATCAACTACTGTGTCCAAAAAGTAAGACCCAAGTTTTCAATTTATATTTCCCCGGTCACATGGTATTTCAATTTTTTAGGTTGCTGGCACTGTCCTTGACATCTTTGTGAAATTTCATGTCAGCATATTCATTAGCGTTTGACTTAAGCTTGGCTTTGTGAGATTCTCAAACGGATTCCGGCGAATTTTGACATGTCTGAATTAATTGAGCAAGAATTTGAGTTGAATTTTGTTTGTGGAAACGTATAGAATGTTGCAGGAGGCATTCAAAATTCTATTTTAAAAGATGCTTTGGGCCTCAAACGCGTCAAATCTCTATTGGTACCGAAAACACTGACTGCGCCAGTTCACACTGCATTGATTCTTCGTGACCCATGAATGCAAATGAACCGAAAATGAAACCCATATCGTCCTACAACCACCGTATTCACACCGTGCGACTTCTGGCTATTCCCTAAACTCCTCCGGGAACCAGGTTTAAAGCCACGCATTTCCACATCAATTTAAAACAAGTAATATAGTGCTGACTTCTTGCTAGCGACTAGTTGTGGCAGGATGTAAGACCAATCCCTTTCTTTATATTAATTTATTGTTTTATATATATAAAACTTATTATATAGCCGCGAGAGATCGCGACTGTGGCCAGTAACTGGGACCTTAACTGTGTGGTCCTGTGGTAAGTAAGTCAATGCATCTAGATCAGGGGTCTCCAAACTTTCCAGCCTTAGGGCCATACTGTTTACTCCAGTAAGTACCAAGGGCCAAAACCGTTTTTTAATTTTTCTGCCATTACCTATCATTTCTAGACCAGTCGCCGAGTACGCGCTCCGAGCAAGAATATACTTGCTAACTACAAACTATTGTCAGTGAAAAATCACAACTACAGAAATCTCATTAGGATTTTTTTACAAGTGGATACCCCGCGGTTTCATTCGCGTTAATTTAGCTCTTTCGTTCCTGAGGGATTTTCAGGATAAAAATCATGTGTTTGATTCAGGATATATACATTCCAAACATCGATAAACATACATATGAGATAAGTTTTACCCCAACATAATACCGAGGGTATGATGTTCACTAGTTTATAACGTTAGTTGATTCATTTCATTTATGTGTTAGTTGTTATGCTTAAGTTACATTTTTGAGTTTTATGCTTGTCATTAGGCTTTACCAGCAAGTCAATACAATTTGTTATTATCATTCTGTGGTTTTTATAAACTTAAATCAAACTAAGCTAAATGGATGACACTGAAGGGCCGGATTTGGCCCGCGGGCCGTAGTTTGGAGATCCCTGATCTAGACACAACTAGTCTCTAGCATAGCAGATAACACAATATTAACATGTTGTTGTTTTGTTGTTGTTTCTTATCCCACTTGGTTGGTCAAGCCCACGAGCCCATACGTACTCATGATTGAAGGGGAAGGAAGCAGCTTCTGTTGTGATGGAGCACCCCGTAGGCAGAAGTCTGACTTTGGCTCCGTGACGCTCTTACAGTCATAAGAGACCGGAACCTACGGCTTAAAGTGGATTCCGAACCACTACAAACATCCATGGGCACCGCCGGGATTCAAACCCGAAACCTGTGGCACCGAACGCCAGACACTAAGAAATTCAGGTCCCAAATGTGTGAATGCCGACTGCACGCGGTGTTCCCCGGTGGTCTCCCACCGGGTACTGACTGATCAGTACTGAGCGCGCCCAATGATGCTTGACTTCGGTGATCTAACGAGGACCGGTATATTCAGCATGGTACGGCCGTTGGCTCAATATTAACATACACAATATTAACAATATTACATACATATGGCACCCTGTGCCTCTTCTACAATGTCAATTCTATTTAATAGGTAAAAACCATGAGCACATCACATACGGTCCCTGGCCGTCTCAGACGCTCCTAGCGTTCTCCTCGTCGTCTCTAAATCTAACCGATTCTGGTACTTACCAATTCACACAGTTAAGGTACCAGTGACTGGTCACAGTGGCGACCTCTCGCGGCTATCTAATAATAATTAGACCTTACAATATAAAAAATTAAAAAAAATTTAAGTCAATATTAATTTTTTTTTTTTCACTGTTGCAGAAAGTCCTTTATAAATAATTTTCATTCATTTTTATATGTTAGAAAAAATTCTCTCTCACTCATTTATTCACATGTTTCATTTTTCATGTTCATTCCTTTTTTTAAGTTTATCTGGCGCTATCTATTGATAGCATGCAACTTAAATCCAAAAAAAAAAATAAAAATAATAATAATAAATTTAATTTAATGAATGAATGAATTAATATTTAAAAAGACTGTATTCACATCCAGTGTCATCCACTACAAGTTTAAGAAAAAAAAATTTGAACTTTGGATGAATAAAAAGTATTTTAGGAACGATTGGAAATGTGAACAAGATATATATATAGGGAGATTGGGAGCTGATAGAAGGAATTGAAAAAAAAGGTGCAAAGTCACTTTTAATTTAAATTTCAATGTGATGCAGCAACCAAAAGCACATTCTTTTTTTGACGCAAAAAAAAAAAAAGGGTGCCTGAGAAAGGGTAGGGTGGAGGGCCGAAAACATCCCCCATCCCCGATAAGACAGACGCCTTAAACGTCGACGACAAGGAGCTCTAATGAGGCATAATTCCACTACTATCATGCCCAACACCCTACTTCGCCTTAATTAACGAGACCTAAGTAACAACGCCTTGTTAGTGGAGGGTCGTTCAAGTATAATGATGGGAACACAATTTCAGGCGCCAGGGAGGAATGCACCTTGTTAAATAAACGGGAGGGGGGGATAGCAGGAATTTAATAATAAAAAGAAAAATTCCGATACACAATATCCACACAAAATATTTGTTGCTCCAATACAATAAAAATACAAACAAATTCCTTTCTTTCCTTTACAAATATCAAATTCACACAGTTTCAAAATGAAACATTTTTTTTTCTTTCTAATGCAGCTGGCAAACACAGACAGCTTGATCTTGGATGCCTTAAGGCAAGTGCTGCACAGACGTACTCACTTTGCATGACCCAGGGGGCGCGTGTCACTCGAAGATAAGTCACGGACGCGGAGTCACAATGCCCCCGCAACGCTCTACGATCCTATTAGGACTGGGACCTACGGTTTAAAGTGGATTCCGAACCATTCCAAACACCCATGGCACCGCCGGGACTCGAAAGCTGTGATACCGAGCGCCAGAGTGCTAGCCACTCGGCCATTCAGGCCCTCACAATGAAACATTTATAGAGTAAAACAAAGAGGTTGCTTTCAAATAGATCGCGCGAACTCAATACCCCACAAAAGGCACAAAAAATGCCCCAATACACTAAAAATACGCAATCCTTGAACCCGACATGAAGAAAGGTCTTCATTCATCCACCAGAATAACTCAAAACGAGTAATATAAAAAATAAAAATAAAAATTCTTAAAGTCAATTCCAACTTTTTTTGTCACTCTATTGCAGGAAAGTCCTTTACAAATAATTTTCATTCATTTTTTTTAAGTTTGTCTGGCGCCATCTCTTGTTAGATGTACGCAACTCAAATCTAAAAAAAATTTTTAATTAATTTAATTACAGAATTAATATTTGAAAAGACTGTATTCACAAGTCAGTGTCCTCCACTATAAGTTAAAAAAAAAAAAAAAAATGTGTTTGAACTCGAGTGGTTGAATGAAAAGTATTTTATGAACGATTGGAAATTTGAACAAGATATACATAGGGAGAGTATGAACTAATAGTAGGAATTGAAAAAGAAAAATTCCGACCAAATATTATCCACACAAAATATGTGTTGCCCCAATACAATAAAAAATACAATGCAAACTTGTTTCTTTCCTTAATAAGTATTTACCCTTTGCACTCGAAGTTTTTTTTTCATTCGCAGCAACCAGCATCTGGAAGCGATTTTCAGTGAAAAGATCCACACATGTAAGTTTGATAGACGCATTAAAAGAAACGGCATTATTTATAGTGTTATTTGCATTGTCTCCGTAGCGGAGCCCTCGAGCTTGAAGACACATTTTAAATGGCTGAAAAGGCTGGCGAGTGAAAAGGTTAAATCCCCACACAGTTTTCAAATGAAATGCTTAGACAGTAAAACAAAGAAAGCCAACCAGATTACTTTTAAGTAGAGCGGGCGAACTCAATACCGCAAGGGTAAATGATCTGCGTAACCCAATCCTCAAGCCCGACTTCGAACAAAGGTCTCCATTCATCCTTAGAATTAGATTCACTCAAAATTGCGAGCAACAACTCATGGCAAACAAATTCCTCGTAGATGGCGATCTCTGCAGCAAGAGGAGACTTGCATCATGGCAGAAGGCGACGCACTCACACCAATCGATGCCGTCCAATAACCGGATTTATTCAGAAAGGACGCAAGTTCTAACAACAGTTATGGATCTCATTTATGCAACAATGTAGAGAGTAAAGACAACCATTTCTTTTTTTTTCTTTTTTTTTTTTGTATATATTAATAAGTAATATAAAAAACATTTAAAGTCAATTCCTACTTAGGTCAACAACGAAAAATTATTATTTTGGTTACTTTTTGTTCAATAATTACAATTCATATGAATATGTATGACAGAATCAAACTATTAAGTGGCAAAATAGAAAGCGAATTTCCTCGCAATTTTCCATTTTCCTTTCTATAGAGGGTGTTGGACTATCATTTTTGTCTGTTACTATTCATTCGCTTTTTTTTTTTTTTTTTTTTTTTAATTTTTTTCATTCGTATCCATTTATGAAGCTGATAGTGGATATCCTCATTCTATCCATTCTTCCCTATAAACCTAAAATTAATGAATTAAATTTGATTAATGAATGAATATTTGAAAAGACTGTATTAACATCCAGTGTCCTCCACTGCAAGTTCAACCAAAAATGTATTTGAACTCGAGTGGATGAATAGAAAGTGTTTTATGTTCGATTGCAAATTTGAACAAGATATATGTGGGGAGAGTGTGAACTGATAGAAGGAATTGAAAAAAAGAAAAATTCCGACAAAACATCATCCACAAAGATTTGTGTTTTCCCAACATACTAAAAATACAAACAAATTCGTTTCTGTCCCTTACAAGTATTAAATTCACACGCAAAATTCAAATGAAATGCTTAGAGAGTAAAACAAAGAAAGCCAACCAGATTGCTTTTAAGTAGAGCGGGCGAACTCAATACCGCAATTGCAAATGACCTCTGTAACTCGATCCTTAAACCCGACTTGATTAAAGGTCCCCATTCATCCTTAGAATTAGAATCACTCAAAATTGTGAGCGAGAACTCATGGCAAACAAATTCTCGCAATGGAAACTTGCATCATGGCAGGAGGCGACGCACTCACGCCAATCGATGCCGTCCAATAACCGGATTTATTCCGAAAGGACGCAAGTTCTAACAACAGTTAGAGATCTCATTTATGCAACAATGTGAAGAGTAAACGCAACCATTTCTTTTTTCTATCCCTACTATTAGTTCACACTTTCCCTATATATATCTTTAAAAAAAAAATTAAAAAAAAATTTTTTTACGTTTAGTTAGAACATGCATGAGTGCAATAATCAGCGGTGTTTTATGTATTTATTTGCGTTGCGTTTATTATGGTTTTTTTAATACGCTTATGATTGCGTTTTTTCAATTCCTTCTATTAGCTCACACTCTCCCTATATATATCTTGTTCACATTTCCAATCGTTCATGAAATACTTTTCATTCTTCCACTCAAGGTCAAATACAGTTTTTGAAACTTGTAGTGGATGACACTGGATGTAAATACAGCTTTTTTCAAATATTAATTCACTCATTAAATTTAATTGAATAATTTTAGTTTTATTTTTTAGATGTAAGTTGCATGTATCTAATAATAGGCCCCTCTTGTAATAGTAAAAATTAGCATTTCTTTTGTGTGTGTGTGTGTGTGCGTGCGTGTGTGTGTGCGCATTACTAGACCAAAAAGTAAGACCCCTTTTAAATTTAAATTTCCCGAGGTTTATGGAATTTCAATTTTTTTTTTCTTATTTAGGTTGCTGGCACTGTGTTTGACGTCCCCTGTCTCCACATCTTCCACACCTTGGAGCTGTTGCGCAAAAGAATAAAATAAAATTTAAAAGTATTTGCGTACAGGGCCTGAATGGCCGGAGCTCGGTACCACAGGTTTCGGGTTGGAATCCCAGCGGTACAATGGATGTTTGAAGTAGTTGGGAATCCACTTTAAACCGTAGCTCCCGATGTTACAGGATCGTAGAGCGTAGCGGGGATAGTGTTACCCCGCGTCTGTAGCCTATCTTCAAGCTACATGCACCTGCTGGGTAGTGCAAAGTGAGTAACGTCGGTGCAGCGCTTGCCTTAAGGCATCCAAAACAACTGTCCAAATGTTTACCAGCTGCATTAGAACAAAACAAAAATTCATACTTTAATTCCCACACATATTCCAATCCGTGCAAACATTTGCAAATCCATTCTCCACTAAAAAGTTGCAGAAAAAATTATAAATAAATACCGGTTGGATGAAGGAGATAAAAGTCAAACCAATAGAATGAATGGAACGAATTGTTCTTCAGCATCAGTTGACACCTCCTTTGTGTAAATGTGTCAAAAAAGATTAAACGTCTGAGCACGCATACATTCGTCTGTGTCTGCCGCAACAAAAAAGTTGGCTTTTATCATCATACAGAAACTCAATTGAGCAGAAGGACTGCTTTTAAAAGCAAAAAGGCGCACGATAAAAGAAAGGAAGGGGGGAGTTTTAAAGGAACGTTTAAA